CCCCCAAACACCCTGCAGGAAGCCCCCGCTGGCTCTCTGGGCTTAACCCTGACCATGGCAGGAGTGGGGAGCAGGTAACCATAGGTGGTCCAAGGTTCAAAGGGCCCAACACAGTTGAGTCAGCCAAGGACAGGGCGAGGGTCCTGAAAACTGCGGGGCTGGCTGGGCAGGTGGGGGCCTTTCTCCTCCTGGGCACAGATCCTTACACTGTGGACAGCCAGTGGGTGGGACCCAGGCACTTCCGCCCGGTCCCCTGCACCAAGGCTGGGGCTCTGAGCCAGGACTGAGTCATGTTGGGGTCCAACGGGAACTGGGAGCAGATGCCAGGGCTGCCTGCTCCATGGGTGCACAGGGGTCGAGGGAGCAAGGGAGTGTCCAGAGCAGGGCATCTGGTGGGTGGAGGTGGGTGGGGCAGGAATGAGGAAGAGGAGAGGTTGGGCTCCCAGGCTCCCAGGCTCTGGGCTGGCGGTTGGGGGCACGGCGTGCTTGAGTGCTGCCGCTGACAAGCAGTCCTTGTATCCATGGGGAAACTGAGGCCAGCAGAGGGCAGAGGTGGGCACGGCTCCACACCAGGTGCCAGCACAGGTGGCTTGGGATCTGCAGCCACGGGGGAGGGGCCGTATCGGAGGGGCACCTCTTTTACTAGGAAGGGGCAGATGATTGACAGTTCAGCCTCACTGCACCTGTAGCCCCAGTGGCCAAGAGTGGCCTAGGTGAGTCTCAGGTCGGGTAGGGTGGGGTATAGGAAGTCTTGACTTGGTCTGGTGTCGGCCAGATTTTCCTCAGGAAGCCCCGGCAGCCCCCGGCGCAGACCCTGACTGACCTGGCCCTTGAGCCCCTAAGTTTAAGTCTGAAGGTTCTGGGCCCGGGTTTCCCAGCCAGGCTGCTGAGGTGGGAAAATGTCCAGTCCTAGCTCTGCCACTCTGCAGCCATGAGACTGTTGGCAAGTTCCTTTATCCCTCTGTGCCTCAGTATTTCCAGCTGTGAAATGGGGTGCGACTCCCAGGCTGGGGAGGGTGAAGTGTCAGCCATACAGCCAGGACCCTGGCCCCCTGGGACCCCATGTTCCCAGGACCTAAGACCCCGAGTGCAGGAGTGGGGGAGCTCAGAGAGGCTGCAAAGCCTGAGGGCGGCGGGGCCCCAGGAGGCTGAGCAGCCTCTTTCCAGTTGGAGGGGAAGGATCTAGGCCCGAGACTCAGGGATTTCTAGGCCCAGAGCCAGGAAGTCTGTGCCCAGGTGGGTATGTGTGCCCTGGTGTGTGTCCCTGCCAGCCTGGCAGGGGCCGGGGGCCACAGTCAGCATCCCAAGGCAAGCAGGAGGAGCAGGAGGCCGGATGGCAGCTCCTAATGAGGGTGCACTCGGGAAGCTGGAGACCATAGGGCTGGCTGAGAGGCAGGGGACACGCTGGGATGGTTCAGACCAAGGGCTTTGGCCATTGGCCTCTCTGCCCTGGTGGGTGGGTGCTGTGCCCAGGACCCTCCCACCCTCCCTGCCCACCAGGTCCTCTGAGGCCTTGCAAAGAGCCCAGAGTGTTTGGCCATCTGTTATCCAGGCCAGCGGGGTGGGCTGGCTCCCAGAGCTGCTTCCATGCCGTGGAGCGAGTTACCTGGCTGATAAGGAAGTATGCGTGTGCCTGTGTGTGTTCGTGTTCCTGGAGAGCCAGCCCATCTGTGCCCCGGGGACAGAGGACCATGGCCCAGTGTCTGTGTTCCTCTAGTGGAGCAGCGTAGCCTGGGACCATCTTACTGCCCCCGAGCTTGGGTCCCAGGCCCCACCCTCTGATCCCTGGTACCCCCCGCACCCCCCTCCACAGCATAGCTCTCCTCTCTCTCCTCTCTGCTCAGCTCGGCTTCCTCCGATGCCCAAGCTTTCTAGGTTCCTTCATGGACTAGAGGGGCCTCTGCTCTCTGTCCTTGAGCCTATGGGCCCTCGGGACAGGGCCTGCTCTGAGACGTTTCTGGGGCTCCAGACCAGGCCTGGCTGGGAGGGCGATGTGAAGGTGTGGAGGGCCAGCCTGCCAAGGTGGGGTGCAGAGGTCCAAGGGCATGGGGAACCACAGCCTGCCGGCCCAAGGGCAGGCCCAGGGTGACAGAAGGGGGCTTGCGCCCTGTGTGGGACCTCTCCCTGCTGGTCCCTGGCGCTCGGGCCCACTCCTGCTTGAGCGTATTGTTGGACGAGCCCACGGGGCCACGGCACACAGGTGTGTCTTCAGCTCTCAGCTCTGCCCTCCCGCAGCTGGTGGCTTGGGCGCTTTTCTCTGAGGCTCAGTGTCCTCACCTGCAGCACGCGGGCACCACCCAGCAGGCAAGGGAGCTCGGGGCAAATGAGACCCTAGCACCAAAGCTGTGCTGCGAGCAGCGGTCAGCATGTCACCCCCGCGCCTGCACAGCCTCTCCCTCTGCCTTCCTTGCTTGGTGACCCAGGCCCCTTCCTTCCTGGCCCCAGATCTCAGGGGGGCCCCTGCACCATCTGTGGGATAGGAGGCGGTGGTCGGGGGAAGGAGGCTACATTGTTCCCAGGGCCCAGTGCCGTCCCCTGTCTCACTTCCTTCTACCACAGAGTCCCTTTGGGAACCCCAGCAGACCAGAGGAGCCCCTGCCGGGGTCAGTGTCTGCCCGCTGTCCATGCTCGGGCCTGGGGGAGGGACTGGTCCCAGCCAATGGGTGGCACGCTGGGCAGTGGGCTTGTGCTGGGTACTGTGGCAAGACAGGGCCCACCAAGCTCCGGGTCTAGGGGATCAAGTCCCATGAGGGGGCGGTGCAGCCCCCCACCATGGGTGAGTGCCACCAGGGTCTCAGCCCCGCCTCCCTGGGACTTCATGCTGGTCAAAGCTTGGAGGGGATGGAAGCTTGGACAAGGCAGGCCCACCCCGGGTTCGCCCGTCTCCTAGGACCCACAGAGCCTGGCCTGGTCATCGCCAAGGCCCTTCCTCCTTGCAAGGCTCTGTTCTGTCTGCACACCCGCCCACACGCACATCGGCGGCTTATAAAATGTAATAAGTGTCTTCATTTTTAACTTCGATCATGTTTCGGATAGTGATACATTCACACGGTTCCAAATTAAAAAGGTAACAGAAAGGATAAAAAGTGAAGTCTCCTTATTCCCATCTCCCCTGTGTCCTTCCCCAGAAGCAACCAGGGTTCCTTCCAGGACCCCTGAGTTTGTAAAACTTGGCCAACGAAGGGACCTGCGTCCTGAAGTTTCGGGCATGGGTGAAGAAGCCGCTTTTGCAGAGGCATCGAGGTTGGGGGGCGGGGCGGGCAGTCCTTGAGCCCTGTAAGAACTAACTTCTTAGATTGATAGAGTCTTCGAATAATGGATCTTAGGGTCTTAGGAAAGAGGAGTGTCCTGAGCAGTCCCACCATCTCTGGGGGGCCTGCCATGTGCCAGGCTCTGCTTGGCGGTTTGAGCTTTGCTCTCCCTGCAGATTTAGAGTGAGGGTTAAGAATTAGCTTGTGGATTCAGACACCTGCAGGCTGGGATCCCGGCTCTGCACCTTCCCAGCTGGGGGACTCCAGGCAAGTTCCTCCACCTCTCTGCCCTCTAGCTCCCGGTGCGAAATGGGGAGCACTATCTGAGAAAATGCGAACGTGCTGGAGGGGGGCCTGGTTTGCAGCCCACACTCCCGGGAGCGGCGGTTCTTACTGACACACACCATCTTCCTTCAGCCTACCAAGCACCCCTCAAGCACATGGCAGCCCCATTTCCAGGAGGGAAGACTGAAGCACCAGGGGTGAAGCCGTGTGTCTAAAATCACCGGGGCCAGGCGGTCCCCGTGCCGGAGCCCCCACCGTCGTGCCTTGCTTCTCCAAAGTCCGGAAGCCCAGAGCTTGCTGGTGTTGCTTGGGGCGGAGCACACAGCACCCAGGCTCTGGGGACTGGCAGGCCCTCTGCTTTTTGGGGCAGCCTCCCTCCCCTCCCCGCCCTGGCCTGGCCCCATTCAGCACTGGGCTTCCCACCAGAGCTCCTGACTCATGACCGGCCTCTGTTTTTGGATGGGACGCAGTGGAAAGCAAAGTTCTTCAGCTGTTTTCCTGGAAGTCATGCTAGCTAGGGGAAGGGCCCCCGGGCGGCCCCAGGCCCTAGGTGACAGAAGCTAACCCTGGCCATCTTGCATCACCACCAAAAACCACTGTGAAAAGCCAGGCCTTTTAAAGAGAGGGGCCAGGCCATCGGGCTGACTTGGACAGTCCCTGGTTCCTGGCAGCGCGCGCCTTCCAGGAAGCCCTCCTGTACTGCACTCCGTGGAAGGCCACCAGTATTGGGGACCTGTTGCCCCATGGTCCTTGCAGAAGCCATTTCCCCTTAGACTTCAGTTTTTCTATCTGCCAGACACAGAAAGGAGTGTGTGACCCGCCTTTCTCCTGGGAGAAAGGGAAGGAACTGTTGACAAGTCAACATCTCCATGCGGGGGCGAGCGCTCTCATGGGAGAGGGTGTTCTGTGAGGGCGGCTCCTGGTCAGCTGTCCTGGCCATCCCGTGGTCCCCAGGGAGGTCAGCAGACTCCAGCCCAGGTCTGGTGCAGCTGCGAATGACCCTGAGCAAGTGACTTCTCTCAGGGGAGGCCTGGTGGCAGCGGGGACTCTTGCCTCAAGGCCTTCACCTATGTGTCCGCTTACCCCTCTGAGACTTAGTTTCCTCATCTGTCAGTGCAGTTAGTGAGTAGGGCAATCCCGCAAAACAAGAGGCCCCAGGAGGGGTCCTGGGTCAGGCGATGGCTGGAGAAGGAGAGGCAGAGGCGGGATTGGGGAGCCGGCCTTGACAAGGAAGTGCAAGTCATCCCACAGAGGGAAGTGGCCCGGGCCTGTGGGGGTGGGGCTGCGTGGCAGCTTGGGGTGCCCTGGTCTCCTGGTCCCAAGGAGCCCACCCCATGGCCAAGACCACTGTTGTGACCAAGGCCACTGGCCATGCCTTCTGGCCAGGCCCCGCAAGCCACAGCCCCTTCCTTCCTGTGAGCGCAGCCCTGAGCCTTTGCGCCTGCTGCCCCTCCCACACACCAGCTCATGCGTCTGGGCTTCCCCAGAGGGAGAGGGTAAAGACTGGATTAATGAACAAGGCCATGAAATACTGGGAAACCTTTCTATCTTCAAAGATGAAAGGAGCGGAGGGCACTAACACCTCGCATCTCTGCCCCGAAGCTTTCGGGCTGGGCGGGCCTTCCTCACGTCTGACGGAACTACCTCCAGCTTCATTTCAGACGTAGAGTGACATCGAGGAAAAGTCAAAGAGCACAGGGCTCAGCCACAGGGCTCCCGGCCCCGCCACCGACTGGCACATGACCGCACCTGTCTGTGCCTCAGTTTCCTCATCCGTGAAAAAGGGATAATTAAGGGTTCCCGCTTCACAAGACCCTGTGATGAAAACATCGCCTCGCCCCAATGTCAATCAATATCTGAAATGAAGCTTGACGTAGTCAGGTCAGATGCAACGAGGGCCTGCCCGGCCAGACAGCTCAGGTGCAGAGACGGGAGGTTTTACTGCATGCGAAGCGTTTAGAACAGAGTGGCTCTTGGGAGTTAAACAAAAGTCGGCTGTCTACCCAAAAGAATTGAAAGCAGGGTCTGGAAGAAATATCTGCACCCCCACATTCACGGCAGCACCGCTCACAATAGCCAAAAAGTGGGAGCAACCCAAGTGTCCATTGACCGGTGATGGATAACACGAGGAATATCGTTCAGCCT